CACCAAACTACATAAAGACCTATGATTTAGTAAGATCAATATATTACTAAGATAGCTGTATAGTTTGATGAAAATCCTAGTTGATTTGAAAAAGTTATAAAAAAAATTAAAGTGTACTATCCAAATATAGTCCGAACTGCAAATTCAATCTTTTTTTACCTAGAAATTTGTAAGCAACACACCAAACTACATAATGACCTGTGATTGAGTAAGATCAATATATTACTAATATAGCTGCATAGTTTGATGAAAATCCAAGTTGATTTGAAAAAGTTATAAAAAAAATTAAGGTGAGTGTACTATCTGAAATGCTGAATTTTGTCCAAAATTGCAAATCCTACCTTTTTTGACCTTCATTAAATTTGACAGCAATACACCAAACTACATAATGACCTTTGATTCAGTAAGATCAATATGTTACCAAGATAGCTGTATAGTTTGATGAAAATCCAAGTTGATTTGAAAAAGTTATAAAAAGATTTAAGGAGAACTATCTGAATATAGTCGGAACTGCAAATTCAAGCTTTTTGGACCTAGATGAATTTAATCCTTAAATTTGACAGCAATACACCAAACTACATAAAGACCTATGATTTAGTAAGATCAATATATTACTAAGATAGCTGTATAGTTTGATGAAAATCCTAGTTGATTTGAAAAAGTTATAAAAAAAATTAAAGTGTACTATCCAAATATAGTCCGAACTGCAAATTCAATCTTTTTTTACCTAGAAATTTGTAAGCAACACACCAAACTACATAATGACCTGTGATTGAGTAAGATCAATATATTACTAATATAGCTGCATAGTTTGATGAAAATCCAAGTTGATTTGAAAAAGTTATAAAAAAAATTAAAGTGTACTATCTGAAATGCTGAATTTTGTCCAAAATTGCAAATCCTAGCTTTTTTGACCTAGATTAAATTTGACAGCAATACACCAAACTACATAATGACCTTTTATTCAGTAAGATCAATATGTTACCAAGATAGCTGTATAGTTTGATGAAAATCCAAGTTGATTTGAAAAAGTTATAAAAAGATTTAAAGTGTACTATCTGAATATAGTCCGAACTGCAAATTCAAGCTTTTTGGACCTAGATTAATGTAATCCTTAAATTTGACAGCAATACACCAAACTACATAAAGACCTATGATTTAGTAAGATCAATATATTACTAAGATAGCTGTATAGTTTGATGAAAATCCTAGTTGATTTGAAAAAGTTAAAAAAAAAATTAAAGTGTACTATCTGAATATAGTCCGAACTGCAAATTCAATCTTTTTTTACCTATAAATTTGTAAGCAACACACCAAACTACATAATGACCTGTTATTCAGTAAGATCAATATATTACTAATATAGCTGCATAGTTTGATGAAAATCCAAGTTGATTTGAAAAAGTTATAAAAAGATTTAAAGTGTACTATCTGAATATAGTCCGAACTGCAAATTCAAGCTTTTTTGACCTAGATTAATTTAATCCATAAATTTGACAGCAATACACCAAACTACATAATGACCTATGATTTAGTAAGATCAATATATTACTAAGATAGCTGTATAGTTTGATGAAAATCCTAGTTGATTTGAAAAAGTTATAAAAAGATTTAAAGTGTACTATCTGAGTATAGTCGGAACTGCAAATTCAAGCTTTTTGGACCTAGATTAATTTAATCCTTGAATTTGACAGCAATACACCAAACTACATAATGACCTATGATTTAGTAAGATCAATATATCACTAAGATAGCTGTATAGTTTGATGAAAATCCTAGTTGATTTGAAAAAGTTAAAAAAAAAAATTAAAGTGTACTATCTGAATATAGTCCGAACTGCAAATTCAATCTTTTTTTACCTAGAAATTTGTAAGCAACACACCAAACTACATTATGACCTGTGATTCAGTAAGATCAATATATTACTAATATAGCTGCATAGTTTGATGAAAATCCAAGTTGATTTGAAAAAGTTATAATACCTGGTACAACATTATCTTGTGCTCCACCTAGCTATGCAATGTACAATGGCAATGGATATTTTTAACCGACATTGACAACAGGAGAAAACCCAAGTATATGTTACAAACTTCACTGAAAATACCCAAGTATATGTCAAAAACCTTCTGTTAAAATTTCAACCCTTTTTTTTCTAAGAAGGGAGGCATGCTCACTGTATATGTCCTATTTTGTCTCCGGTTTTAATCTACAGTTGAATTGTTAGGACGAAAAAGCAACGACATTGCTTTAGAACCAGATTCAATGAAAAACAGTTGGTATACATCCTAAATAATGTCAATACTACATAACGAAGTACACCTTGGTACAACATTTTGGAGTGGTCCGTGTGTAAATAACAATCTCTGTTTAGGAATGAGGAAATCTATCTGTTGGCACTTGTGCAGGTTGTAAAAAGGGTCAATTTCCACCTAAATATACGTAACTGTATCGGCAGTTATTTGGTATAAAACGCCGTCACTGAATTCGGCGGCAGGAATTATGTGCTCCACTGAAATGTTTATGAAACGATAGGTATGCGAGTCTATTTACTGACATTTCCCACTTGTACAGGCTGTAAGAAGGGTAAATTTCCACCTAAATATAAGTTTAGCAACACTAATCAATCAATATTATTGAAGTAGTTCTTCAATGTATTATGGTGCTTAGCCTCATTGAAAGAATGATCTTACCGGTAGTCAGACATATCATGTTCACACCAGAAATTAATTTCAGCAGTGACAGACATAACGGAAAATAAAGCATACAAACAGGTCAGTCTTATCTTCAATACTGTTGTAACAACATAATTTGAAAGTATTCGTGTCTGTATAGGCTGTCAATATAGGCTGTCAATATATTTTTTCTGATATAATTTAGTCTGGAAAAAGATAATCGTTTAAAAATGTATTTATGTTCACATCAAAATTGCTTTCAGGAAAACCCAATTACTAAATGTAATGTTAAATATAAAATACATGACAACAAATTTCATGTTATCAGGGAATAGAAAATGCCGTTATATTTATCTATAACTGATACAATTAGTGACCATCCTTACAAAGATCTATACATTTTGTTACGGAAAAGAAGAACGTATCCTTTATATTTTATCACAATTCATGTTCATTGGCGTATACGCTAACTATGGGCTAGTAATTTGCTATAACAGATCAATATAACTTACCTTTTTACGAAGTTTATCCCCGATGTATTATCCGTACACAATAACACAATCCCTGAAATCAGTTTCTGGTGTGAACACGACCCTGAAAGCAGTTTCTGGTGTGAACATGACGCTGAAATCATTTTCTGGTGTGAACATGATAACTGAAAGTTAATTTTGGTGTGAACAGAATCTTACAAGTTTATGACACAAGGTTTAGTCAAAGAACGTCTCGTCTTTGTTCTCATAAAGTTTACCGGAAGATACCAATACCTACTTAACAAATATTCCGTATCAATTTCACAAATTATAAATAGTTCTTCAGTTTATTATCGTGGCCCCCCGCATTGAAAGAAAGACCTTCCCGGTATATAACCTTTTCATATAGTTTTTTAATTTTAGCTGTAAATGTCTGCATTATGTCTTGAACTTTGCATGTGTGCTTTATCTTTTATTTTTGGTTAATTTTTACATGTGCTTACATTTTTACTTGTGCTTAAGTTTTACTTGTGCTTCAGTTTTAGTTATGTTTCAGTTTTGGCATGTTCACATGTGTACTTTATTAGTGCTTTGCATGTAATTCCAAATGATTTCAGATTTTGAAAAAAAAAAAATAGGGGAATGTCTTCGGACAAAGACTTGTGTCTCCTGCCGTTTTTTTTTACGGCCGTACAAAGACTTGCATTGCTATCGTTACATAAATATTTAAGTGGAGCACTTTGAATTGTTGTACCAGCAATTTCAGTCGCATAAGTCAGCGCCGGCGTTCCATACCAAATAACGGCTGCTTCAGTAAATATAAATAAGAAGATGTGGTATGGTTGCCAATGAGACAAGTCTCCGTCCAAGTCACAATGTATAATAATTTAACCATTATAGGTCAAAGTACGGCCTTAAACACGGAGCCTTTACTCACACAGAACAGCAATCTGTAAAGGGACCCAAAATCTTTAGGTACATATTGACCCTTTGTAACAGCCTGTACAAGTCCAAAGAAAAATATTTCCTCATTCCTTAATACAGATTGTTTTTTACAGATGGAGCCCTCGAACATGTTGTATCAAGGTGTAATTAGTTTTGCTATTTTGGTCGTAACAGTTCAACTGTTGATTACAGATTCATTCGAACATGTTGTACCAATGTGTAATTAGTTTTGCTATTTTGGTCCTAACAGTTCAACTGTTGATTACAGGTTGCGAAAAAAAAATACGTCATATTTCAATCTATATTTGAACGAGCAGTGTGTATGCCTTCCTCCGGAGAAAAAGGTGTGTGGGTGTGAGTTTCAAAATAGTTTTTTTGACCTAAACCTGGGTATTCTCATTGCTTTTTGACAGATACGTAAGTTTTCTCCTGTTGTTAATGTCGATAACAAATATACATTGCCATTGTATAACACAGTCAGGTGGAGCATATGTTAATGTTGTACCAGGAATTAGCATGTTATAATTAACTGTTGGCTTACTCCATACTGAATATATAGCTCCTAGTATATACATTGGTTAGGGTTAGGATATACCCGTTAGATATGAACCCTTCCAATCACAAAGCAGAAGACCGTGGAAGTAGCTTTTCCTATTTATAAAAGGAGACCATTGTTTAATGTAGGAGCACACGAAATTGTTGTACCAAGGTGTAGCTTTATACCTACCAATTATTTAGGAATGAAATGGATATCAATTTCCATAATGCGATTTTAAAATAAAGAATGCATATTTTTAGCGATTAAATACCGTTTCACCTAAATAAATAATAGTGGAGTGTCTTCAGACATTTATTTTTGTAAGCCTAATCCTAGCCTGAATATTCAATTTAACTATCCTTTTCTTTTCTTCAGAAGATGGAATCTTGGATGAAAGACAAATTTGACGAATTGGTAGGTATAGTTATATATTACTTGATCTGTTGATACTCTACTTATTTCATATACTTTCCTTTATTACTGAACTTACCATGTTATGACTTAAAGTGAGCATTATGTGGCTTTTCACGTCAATATAATATTTCAGTATAGGATTAATATTCCAATATGAATTGGTATTTTATTTGTAACCAATTCAATTTGATTTCATTCAGGGCGAAGATCTGAAGAGCGAAATAAGGGAGCAGCACATAGGTAGGATTGTTTGCATTATTATAACATATGGTTGTTATGGGGGATATTCCGGTTCATCTGGTCAAAACGATCTCAAATTTATTTCTATATAGACGATTTCGATGTTTCACTGACTAATACTTAGTGACTCCCTTCATAATATGAAAACTACATCACAGGAAAGGGGATTACGCAAACTGCCAAATAGTACCAGTGTCTGTCAACATTGCCATATTTATCCACTGAATATACAAGGTCCTTTTTATAACCAAAATATGTCAAAGGAAAAAATAAAGGCCGTACAACGAAGATAGTACCACTTACGTACTAAGTTCAGCCGGTAAAATTGAAAGTATGATAATTGAACCCAGTTTATAATCTTAATGTTACTATAACTTCATATTCGTACGGTCTGTATGACACTGCAAGAAGTTTTGACAACAAATCTGAATAAAGTTTTCAAAAGCAATGCTGAGCAAAATGATTTCTACGATCAGAAAGATTAAAAGTTATATTCTTTTCCAAATTATATTATATGTACCCAGCTGGATAAACAGATCATATCATAAATTGGGTTGTGTAAAATATTGAGTGTTGCATGGTCACGTATATAATTGTATTTTTGATTCATGCTGTAACCTGAAATGGGTTAGGAAAGCCTAAGAGTACTAAACAATTAATGCCTGCCACATTTCTTTCAGCAACTGTTAAAGACCTGAAAATGTTTGTTGAAAGTAAGTTAATGAGCACTTAATTATTCATGAACCAGATTAATATTTTGTGACCTTTGTGTGATATTTAAAAAAAATTTTCTTGCCTTTCATGCAAAACAACATAGATATTATGTATCTGCTAAGAGTTTGAAGAAGTAATGATAACAATATAAAGAGAAAAAAATGAGAAAGCTCAGAATACACTTTCAAGGTTATGTGTCTATGAATTGATCGACACTGAGCAGAATATTATGTTAAATGAGTGAAGTTAAAAGCCGAAAACCTGACTTAAAAATACGATTCGACAGTACTTCTGGAAACTGAAGTCAAACTATCTCATCTATATTAGTATTTGCAATGAGTTTAATATCATTATATTTCACACGAAACAAAAACAGCAAAATTCAGCTGATTAAATGATTTGTCAAATCATTACAAACCGATAATTAAAGTTTAAAAATACTAGTCTAGATGTAATGCATATTTTAACTGGCTTATTTCAGGGAAATTAAGGGTTACACAGACAGAAGCAAAAGACATAGGTAAGAACTGTTTTTAATAATCTTTGGACATATCTGTATTTTATTCACGACTTATATATGTTTTTCTCAATTGCTACCTATTCTATGTCAATTAATGATGGTTCAGAAAAGTAGTTTGAAATACTATAAGATCGATGTTACTGGAGAAATAATTCAACTCCTTTGGTATAGATGTATATATTTGTTATCCTACAGACATCTTGATTCATCTTTTGTATCAATGCATAAAGGCAAAGACGAAAGGGAATCTGTCAATAACTGTTAATAAATTGTTTCAAATACCAATTCATTAGCACCAGACGCCTTTGAGGTACAAGTTTATGATTTCTTTATACAAATTGCCCCAAATTTAGGAACATAATTTTTATTATTTATACACTCCTTTTCTTCTTCAGAAAATGAAGATGAGGAGATTTCAGGTAAGACATTTAAAACAAAATGTGAGGTAGGTAATATATCTTCATTCATATAACAAGTAATTACATAGAGAAATAATACCTGCGACTAAAGAAGTATGTCCAATAACTGTTATTTTGGACTGAATTTAAAAAAAAAAAAAAGTAAAGGCGAAATAATTGCCTTTGATGTATTCAGAAGTTTATTGGCATTATTCTCTACGTGCTGCAGTCTGTAACGTTATGAAAGTCTAAAAGTATTCAAACATGCTCATTTCATATCACCATTTGTTTTCCTCTTGTAGTTGATGTGTTTCCCTCTGTTTTAGTTGGTTACCCCGATCTGTGTTCTCTTATTGTAATCATGGCTATTGAACAGCGGTATTCTACTGTTGCATTCATTTTGTACAGTTTTAGAAAGTTTTTTCCTACATCAGAGTTACCCACATGTATGTTTATTCAACAGATTTTAAAATCTGACGTGACTAATAATAATTCACAAGATGTAGAAAAATAAAGATTGAGATCTATGACGTCCGAATGACCTATATTAAAACTATAACTTCAAAATGTCCAATATGATTGAAAAAGTTTGACAATCCAAGTTTACTAAAATCTTAGAATTCGAACCTGCTGTGTAGTTCATACTCGTTGCCTGACCGTACCTCCTCCTTTCAGACAGAATCTTGCAAAATTTGCAAAATTGTACATTGCAAAAGACAACATTAAAATAGTGATCATGCGCAAAGAAACATTCATTTTCAAATGGCTGACATTCGAAGAGATTATCTTTTCTGGTACCTTCAAATGGCAAATGTCCATTTTTCATTCCGTCCTTTTGCCTTTCCTATCACTGCTGTAATTAGTTCTTTCGTATTGAACTGTAAAAGTTGTATGTGGAAAAAAAACAGTGTACTAAATGCAAAATTATTCATTGGTAGATGTAGAAGAGAAGACATCAAGCACTTCTGAAGGTAAGGACTCTTAATTGGTCAACAGTTCAAGTACTAAGTTATATTTCCATTTCATCATCAATGACATCAGTGATGTCTTGATTTTTTATTATAAAGTTTTATCAAGTGGAAAAGTATATAGAAAAGCACTCCCATGTGTAAAATAATTGTGAAATATTATGTAGGTATCATAGTTGTCCAATCATTTTAACACGGAGATCAATCATTGATGTTAAAAAAAAACAGTTTGAAATACTACAAGATATCAGAGAAATTCTTCAACTTCTTTGGTATAGATGTGTATATTTGTAATCCCTATCAGACATTTGATTCATCTTTTGTATCCATGTCTAAAGGCAATGAATAAATGAAATTTGTCGAAAACTGATACTACATTGTTTCAAGTACCCATTCATTTACATCATTTGCAAATGTACTAAGAGTTGTATGGTTTCTTTGCACAAATTGTCAGAAGTTTAGGAACGTACTTTTGATTATTTATACACTTATTTCTTACTTCAGATGATAAAGTGCTGCAGATTTCAGGTAAGAAATGTAAAAGAAAATGTTAAGAAGGCAGTGTATCTTCATTTATAATACAAGTAATTATATAAAGAAACAATACCTGCGACTGCCATGTGTTCATCCTCATACCTCAACTGGATAAGATATAAAGTCCGTGGATCTCAACGAAACCGGTTAATCTGGCTTAGGTAGCATCATCAATTATTTTGAGACATGGGTTCACCCTCATAACTTATCTGGGTAAGGTCTAAAGCCAGTGGACCTCAACGAAACCAGTTAATCTTGCTTAGGTAGTATTATCGATTAATTTGAGCCATGAGTTCACCCTCATACCTTATCTGGATACGGTCTAAATCTCTTATTCCGTACTTTTGGCTTCCTTATAACTACTGTTATTAATTCTGTCGTATTGAACTGTACCAGTTTCATGTCTAAAAAAATCATTGTACTAAATGCAAAATTATTCATTGGTAGATACAGAAGAGAAGAAAGAAGACGATAGGGAAGGTAAGGACTCTTAATTGGCCATAAGTTCAATTACCAAGTTATGTTTCTAATTTCATCATCCATGACATCGGTGATATTTTGATTATAAAGTTTTACCAAGTTGAAACGTCAAATGACAAGCACGCCCATGTGTAAAATAATTGCGAAGAAAAATAAAAGAAAACGAAGAACAGACAGATCATGGTTGGGCAATTTCTATTTCAGACATCAAAAAAACTTATCGATTAATACTTGTTACATGTCTGTTACCTTTATACTAAATTGCTTCTGTATTCATTGAAAATTGCAACAGTTTGTATGAGCCGTCTGAAAGGTTTTATCATGTTATTCTAAGCATTCCTTTACTTACTTGTAGAAAGTTATCCACCAAGTAAGTATTAGTTACTGCAATAAATACATCTATACTGACGACACCACTTCTTCGTGACAAATTTCAGAACCTTGAATAAAACTTTGTTTTATGTACTGCTTGAAAGATTAATATTATGTCTTTTTAAAAGCATCAGAATTGCAAGAAAACAAAGTGTAGTCCTCCGAAAATGAAGGTTATAAAAAAAATACCGAACACACATAGCCTTACCCAGTTAAGAAACACCAAAGTTAAATTGAAAGCGACTGACAACATCGTGAAAAAAAAACACCATAGCACCCACTTGGTGCAAGCCTTTCAAACGAAATGCAGGATTAACACTAATATTCAAGATACTTTATACACTATTTAAAACAAAAGTGCATTGAGGGTGTATGAATGCCATAAACATTTTTAATGTCCTTGCAGTCAACACTGATTCAAAACAATATCAAAATGATTAACCTTTTTTCGTACCTGTCTATGCATCACTGTATCATGATTTCTTGTTTGACAGTGACATTAGATGTTTATGGCGATTTTGATATCTTTGATAATTGCTTCATAGTTTTATTTGCAGGTTTCGTTTTTGGTAGAGGAAAAGGGAAGAGTAAGTAGTTATCTTTTCAATTTGATTTCATAGACATGTATAATACGTATAGCAATCAGTCAAAGAAAGCATTACAGTCTTTCATTTCAATAGTTCTCACAGGTATTTCGCAGAAATTATAAAATCTTAATTTAGAACGATAGTTTCTATAAACATTGACACTTTTGAAAAATGCTTCTATGAATATTGTTTTATTTACATTTTTTATCGTTGCAGGACATTTACAGCTGCACCCTGATTGCAGTGGTATGTAGTAAGCTATGGTCTTCTTTTTATCACATAAAATAGTCAAGTAAGGTAGTAATTTCATCATGTACCAGGAGACTTTCGATAAGGTAGTGGATAAGTACAGCTATCTGCACATGGAATTAAACAGCAAATTTGTATAGGACAAGCAGGCCTATACCTATAGCAAAAATAGCAGCCAAAATATAATTGTTACATCAGTAGTCATTTCCGTGTGAGTTTTGTGTAAAAAAAAATTTATTATATATATATATGTTTCTTTCTTCACATCGTTCACCTAAACTGATACACTTACATTTTCCGGATTTTATATGTATAAAAGCACATTTTTCTTGTGTTCTGTACTTTTCAATTCTTTCGTTACATGTAACATCCAATTTTTGTATACATTTTAGAGCCAGCATCAACAGGAAGTTCCATGCCTGGTAAGTTTTATTCAGATTTGTCTTTAAATCCCATGCACTTTTCAAGTGCTTTTCCAATCTTTGACTTCAGAGTGTAAAAATTAGGCGAGCACATCATTTGAATTAAGTATAATGCCATATGGCATCTATTTGGTAACAACTTGACATAGTTTTGATTGCTACATATTTTTCTGCTTACCATTATAATTCTCATACTTTAGGGTTAGGGTTAGTTTAATGTTCTATGTTTCACGATATCTATATCCCATCGAAACTAACAAAAGTGGTCGTCACCGTTTTGATTTCATTTTACAACTTCACCAGCATACTCTGGGTACTTGATTCTTCATTATCCTGAGGGCTCATTGGTGGCTTTGGACTATTTTGTGCTTTTCGTCGTTGACACATTCCCCCGTTTCCATTCTTCATCTTATTTTATTAACTGAAATACTTTTACATGTTGCAGACCAAGAGAGTTGGCTGATACAATACATGCTGAGTAAGTAGACTATTATATGTAGAGAAATGCAAATTATTACTCTTCTATTTTGATCAGCAGACCGTGCTTAGGGTTTTAACTACATCAGTAAAAGTCGAACTAAAGCATTGGTAAAGGCATCTGGAAAACCATACCTACTGAAGCAAACATGCTATCAAAAGTCCAAAATAGTAGAAAAAAATCCACCTAATGAAACCTACCAATTATGAAAGAAAAACTTCTTTTTTATACACATCTAGATTATAAATGTTTCTCTTTCATTATATCCTTTACTTAAACTGTTACACTTGGACTTTCTTGAATTCATATGCATAAAAGTATACTTTTTTTGTGTCCTGCATTTTTGATTCATTCGTTAATTTTTATACATTTTAGGCCAATTTTCACCAGCAAGTTCTATTCCTGGTAAGTTTTAATCAAATTGTATTCACAGCTCATCCACTTTTCAATTGCTTTTTCAATCTATGAATTCGGAGTGCAAAAATGAGGCGACCACATTCTTTGAATAACATTTAATGCTGTCTGAAATGCAATATGCAATTTTAATATAAGCCACCTATAACATATGGTACCTCATTGTTAACAACTTTACATAGTTTTGAATACTACTGTTTCTCTGCTTAGGTTTCTAATTTTCTTATTTCAGGGATGGGGTCAGTTCCATCCGGCTCCGGACTACAGAAAAGAAAAAGTAGTAAGTTTATCCATATGTCTATATCAACAGATATGCAACTGCAGAGTGCAGACAATCTGTCGGTGGTATATATGAATGAATAGGGCAGTATTAAATTTGAATGTAAATTTGCATTGTTAGGGTTCTGACATTAAAAATAAGACTTATGGGAAAATATTTAACAGTTATACGCGTGTAACTAAATGAATGAAAAGGTATTTCTTGTTTTTGAAGTACAGAATACATTAACTGATACACATATACTTTCAGGATGTAATATGTATACGTGTATATAATTTCCTTGTGTTCGGAATTCTTCGTTTCATCCATTATATCTGACATCCAAGTTCTTGTATATTTCAGGCCAAGGTGAAATGCAGCCATCTGGTAAGTTTCTTTTCCTTCAGATTGTAATAAATTGTCAAAGTAAGATATGATTTTAAGAAAATTGCAAACCTCGACAGAAGTATTATATCAAAATAATTTATAAAGATGTATATAAACATTAGAAGATAATTTTAATGATGTATGCCTTCTCTCTGACTTCTATTTAGACGAACGTAACGTCTGCCTGTAACAACCACTTGAATCTGGAAAAGATTCATGCCCTAACCTTGTGATTGACTGCAAACACATTGTAAAAAGTGTATGGCATATGAAAACAACGATGAACTGATGCCTCTCCGTATGCACTTTTCAAGTGCTTTCTAATTCTTTCGCTTCAGTCTAAAAATGAGGCGAAGACATTATTTGAATAACATTTAATGATGTCTTAAACACAATATGCAATATCAATGTGAGACACCTCTAACATATTGTATGTATTTGGTAACAACTTTACACAATTGTGATTGCTACTTTCTCTCTGCTTATCATTCCAATTTTCATTTTTTATGGTTAGGGTTAGTACCTTCCTGCTCCAAGCTACCGAAAAGAAAACGTAGTAAGTTTATCCATAGGTAGTTATAAACACATATGCAAATACACAGTGCAGAATATTTGTAGGTGGTATATGTGAATGAATACGGCAGTATTGAATTTGAATGTGAATTGGCTTTGATGTGTGGTAACGGTAATATTACAATTTATGACAGAATATTAAACAGTCATACGCTTATTCCCAAAATACTGAAACAGTAAGGGCCCTTGAATGCATAGACTATGTAAACTGATACACATATACTTTCGGGGATGTCATGTGTATAAATCTATATAATTTCCTTGGGTTCTGAAATCTTCGTTAAACCATTATATCTGATATCACAATTCTTGTATATTTTAGGGAAAGTTGAATTACAACCATCTAATAATTTAATCCATATTTCATTAAGGTCAGAAAATTAATGACTTATTTTTGAAAAGTAGCAAACATCGACAGTACTATTCTATCAAAATCATGTGTAATGATGTGCATAACCATCAAACGATCAATTTAAGTTTAATACTGAATATTGATTTGAATGTAATTTGACATTGTCATGTGGTAACAGTAAAAATAAGATCTACAGCAGAATATTCATCAGTAATACGCGTGTAAGCAAAATACTGAAGCAGTATAACTTTCTTCATGTAGAGGCCTTTAAACACATAAACTTTCGGGATTTAATATGTATAAATGCAATTATTTTCCTTGTGTTTTGAATTTTTCGCTTCATCCATTATATCTCACATGAAAGTTCTTGTATATTTTAGGCGAAGATGAACAACAGCCAACTGGTAAGTTTGGTCATATTGTATCAACAGCTCAAATGAAAGTGTCATTTAAAGACAGCAGCAAACATCGGCAGTACTATTCTATCAAACTCATTTGTATCGATGTATATACACATCAGAAGATCATTTTAATATAAATATGCAAATATTGATTTTTAATGTCACTTGACTTGTTGTGTGCTTACAGTAAAAATAAGACTTATGGGAGAATATCCAACAGTCATAAGCGTTTTACCAAAATACTGAAAAAGTAAGGTATTCGTTCAATGTAGAGACAATATAAACTGATACACATATACTTTCGGTATATAATTTGTGTAAATGGTTATAATTGGCTTGTGTTCGGAATTTTCCGTTTCATCCATTATATCTGACATCCAAATTCTTGTCTATTTTAGGCCTACTTAAAGTACAGCCATCTGGTAAGTTCTTCCTTGATTGTATTACAAGGTGAAATTAAAGTGTAATTTTAAAAAAAAATAGCAAACATCGACAGTACTATTCCATCCAAATCATTTGTAATGATGTATATAAATATGAAACGATCAATTTAAGTTTTATATGGAATATTGATTTTTAATGTATTTTCTCATTGTGGTGTGCTAACAGTAGAAATAAGATTTGTAGGAGAAAATTCTGACAGTTATACGCTTGATACTTATTTACTGAAAAAGTTTCCTTGTGTGCGGGTTTCTTCGTTTTATCCATTACGTCTGAACTTCGCAGTCTTGTATATTTCAGATCAAGTTGAACAACAGCCATCTGGTAAGGTCTTAGTCAGCTTGTGTTCAAAGCTCAAATTAAAGTTAGGTGTTAATTAAATAGCAAACATCGACAGATCTATTCTATCCCAATCCAAAAATCTTTTGTAAAGATGTATTTCAAGATAAGAAGATAATTTTAATGAATTTTACCTTTTCCCTGACTTCTAGTCATACCCACTGAAGGTTTGCCTGCAAATCATTTTTCCTTACATAACATTTATGCCCATACCTTATGATTGATTGCAAACAGAGTGCATAATGGCACATGAATACAACGATGAACCGATGCCTGTACGAGTGCGTTTTACAAGTGTTTTGTCATTCTTTGACTTCAGAATGTAAAAATGAGGCGAACACATTGTTTTAAAAACATTTAATGCTGTCTTAAATACAACATGCAATTTACATATCAGCTATTTATAACATATTGTATCTAAATGGTTACATTTTTACATAGCTTTGATTGCTACTTCTTCTCTGACATAACATTCTAATTTTCTTATATTATAGTGTCAGATGTTGCAACTGCAGCCTCCACAGTACTAAAAAGAAAAAGTAGTAAGTGTTATCCATATGTCGTTATCATCACATATACAACTGCAAAGTACAGATATTCCCCGGCTAGGGTAAATGTTCATGAATATGGCAGTAATGAATGTGAATGCCAATCTGCATTGCTGTTTGCTAACAGTAAAATTAAGATTTATGGGAGAATATATAGTGATATGGGTGTTACTAAATTACTGAACATGTACAGACTACGTTAACTGATACACATATACTTCCGGGATGTACTATGTATCAATACATATAATTTCCTTGTGTTCTGAATCTTTCGTTTCATCCTTTATATCTGACATGCAAATTATTGTATATTTTAGGCGAAGGTGAACAAACGCCATCGGGTGAGTTTCTTTTTTTTTTCGATTGTCTTAAAAGCTGAAATGAAATTGTGATTCTAAAGAAATAGCAAACATCGCCACTACTACTGTATCAGAATCATTTGTAATGAGGTATAATAACATCAGACGATCAATTTAAGTTTACTATAGAATACTGATCTCAAATGACATTTGTCATTGTTGTGTGCTTACTTTAAAAATAAGATTTATTGGAGAATAGCCATCAGTTATACGCGTACGCGTGTTACCAAAATACTGAAAACGTATGACTTTCTTAATGATGATACTACGTAAACTGATACACATAAACTTCCGGGATATAATATGTACCAATGTACATATTTTTCTGGTGATGTTATTTGTCATTTCTTCTCTTATATGTGACACCTAAATCATACTTTTTCCATAATGTACTATACCTGAAGATGTCTCGAAGTATTCGTATTGATGTTATCTATTAAACCCCTTCTAATGAAGTGTGTAACTTAAATGAATTACAACATGGTTGTACTTTTACGGGCTGATATTTCTTACAGTAGTAATGGGGTTCCAAATTAACTGGATACGATTTTTCCATACTCTGCAAGAATCAGGTTGTAAGATTTTGAATGTTTTGTTTTTACAGCATCAGCTCTTGCAAAAAGTAAAGGTAAGGACTTTAAATCAATATTCCTTGTAAACCATTTGCGATTGACTGAAAGATTTTTTTCCACATGGCCTTCAAATATTCCCACTGGTCTGAATAACATACTGTATTACATATTTCTATCTGCATCACATTTTGGTAAAAGATATTTCATGAGTTTTCAGAAATTTTGGTTGAAATTTAAATTTTAATTTCCGGAGTATTCATCTTTTGGTACCCGTAATTATTCAATGTTTTCACAAATCTGTAGAGTGCTACAACACATGTACATTAAGGACAGCAGGACAAAATAATGTAAAAAAGCGTAATTGTAATTAGAATAAGGGTTGCTGTCTTCCGTAGATATCATTCTACGTTTGGCCACTTCCCCTAAAAAGCTTACAAGTATTACAGTGAACATTAAACCTTTTCATCTGCATCTTATTTCAGTTATTTTCAGTGAAGAACAGAGTGAATTCGTGGGGTCGATTGCAGCAACGCTAAATTGGTCAGTGAATGAAACCGCATTAAAAATAATGTTGTCTAGAGGATTGGAAAAAGGAGTCTTCAAGAAGAATGAATTCACCTTGACGCAACTAAAGGACAAAGTGAAAAACCTGAGGAAGTCAGTATACAGTAATACACTAATTATGATTTTATATATTGACCAATAGGTCAAATTTCAATTTGTTGCGTTCTTTGACCACATTCATTCTGTGTTAGATACATATGGTGTGTTAAATATGTAATCACAATTCAAATTTAAAGCTGTATCAAGCTTGAATGTAGTGTTTATGCTTGGCCCAAATGTTCAATGTTCGACATCTGTGGTCGTTTAAAGGTGCGACCTGTTAAGCATTTTATTTCATTTACAGAGCATTTGAGTTTATTACATTTCAGTTGCAAAATGACATACAATGTTATAAGACATGAGCGTAAACATTTCTGTATTTTACGATTAATTCTGTACATTATTAACATATAACACAAATTGTACTCCTCATTATCATTTTACATATTTGTTTTAGGAAGCCAATGACGAAGCTTACCTTGTAGGATTGTTTACAGTTCACGGATATCCAGCTGGCTATAAACATTTGAACATTGTTACGTTCAACATTTCTTTTTAAACATATGTTTTTGTACAATCATGAATTAAGACAATCATGACGCCTGTCTGTTTGACAGTGACATTTTAACTTTTATTTCTCTTATTCTTTGTTAGGGTTATTTATTTTATACATTATTTATATACGTTGTGACAATACATATTTTCCAACTTATTTCATTTCACATTTCATGTATATAGTTCCAAAAAGGCATCTGACATGCATGTTGTAATTCAGGAATAAAGGTAGTCTGTTGTCCTCTTTCTTTTATTAGCATGCATTAATTTCCTACAATATGAGCCACTGTTTCACCATGGGATGATTATAAGATGACAATTTGTTTGATCTAATTCAATGAAATGGATGATTAAAAAAAAAATATATAATCAGACTGAAATGCATCAATTCAGATGGAAATATTCTGACTGTCAAGTTGCTACTTGGTGTTAGATGGAGAGTTTTCATCGGCAATCAAATAAAATCTTATTTTTCTACGCCCGTCTTTATCGAAATATATTATGGTATGTGACAATCAAAACCTAGGAGTAAACAAAGGAAATTTTGAACAATATTATTAAATACGAAAGAACATGAACTACACTGAAAACGGACAGTGAAATCAAGTGCTCCATAAGGGTAAACATTTCCTGCATCGTATACGGCACCCCTCGTGTTATTTCTGTGTTCAGTCTGGTAATGAATAGGGTTACTTGGGACTTAGGAAGAATATCATTTATAATTTGTGACATACTTTTGTTACAATAGCCAATCAGTTCATGATGGCGACCATAAACCAATAACCTGTTGTCATGTGTAAGTACTAGTTCTGTGTGTTTCCCGTGTTTGGATATCCCTCTTCATGTGTATTAAATACATATCAAACAATGTCAGAAAGGAAATTGAAATCAGTATCCAAAGGACAATATGTAAACGAGAAGACTGGTAAACAAACAAACCCAGAGAGAGTTGTACGATCATAAAACACTGAAATGTAAAGCGTGGGGAATACGAACTCCAACGAAATACATGAAGCGATACATGTGAGTAGTGGACAGAAATACTGTTTTGGTCAACATGATGACCCAAAATAAATGCAGATAAAGAACAGAACGCCGTGTACTATTAGGTATAATGTTGTTTAATACGTTCATAAACAAACATGCGGTAATAGACAATCATACATACATAAATACACACATACTGTATTTACAGTTGCTAACACACACTGAAGGATTACATGCATATATACATAAAAAAATTGTCATACATACATACCATTGCCACCCACATAACAGTCATACAAATAATCGAACATACCTGCATTGGCTTATACCAACATGAACAATCACATTTCTTTTTTACCACAGTTTTAATTAAACATAAATAACTATACAGATAAAAATAAAAGGTTTTTACGCACTGTCTTCCTCTACTTCGAAGCTGAACAGGGACCTGATGTCATCTTCTGTGAAGCTTGTCAAGAATGGGTCAAATTCAGGAAGGTGTAATGCTGCTGGTGTGGTAGGCTGAAAGTGTAATGCTGCTGTTGTGGTAGGCTGAAACTGTAATGCTGCTGGTGTGGTAGGCTGAAAGATAATAAGTTTAAAGGTACAAAAACTGACTGTCACAAATAGAAGATTGGTATTAATTATACTGAAACCATGTGTGTTATAATATTTCAATCACTACTTATAGTTTGCCCATTTCTCAACATCGCTGTACAGGGGTTATGACATGTTTGCCACAGTAAATTTACTTTTTGCAAATTATTTCAAAAGATAAATCACCATATACACTAACCTCAACAAGGTTCTGGGACACTGTACTCCTTTTTTCTGTGACAGCCAGTGATGTAGTCGGTGCCTGAAATAACCGAAAAATATGAATTATTAATATCACCTTGGATATTATGAAGTTATTACATATCCAGTTCATAAATGTCATCGTAAGAATCGTTTACATTAAACACATTACTATTTTTACACGAAAAATATTGCCTTGAAATTAATTAAGGAAAGTCTGAATGCTTGAAGATGGCATAAATACATACTTGTAAATTTTTATTTTCATTTCTTTTAATGTTTCATACATTGATATGAACCTATGTTTCTTAACGCCATATACATAATAATATAAGAACATACACTCACCTCTGGTTCCACTGCTGGCGGCGTTGTTGCTGTTGCCTAAAAAATAGTAGTAGTTAAATACGCATACCTATGGATGTTCGTTCTTATGGAAATTGCATATTCATTTATTGGTTACATATGTGATATTTTGAAAACAATTCTGGACATTTATGACGCGATATCCAGTAACAGTAACTGGAATAGGAGATATCTTATTTGATTTCTATTTAACGTAAAACAGTTTAAAAGGAGTTAACACCCTGAATATCGTAAATAGTAAAAATAGAGTTATTTTATCCAAAAAAAAACAAACAAATTCTTGTTAATTCACACTGCCTTTACGCTCCTTATACTAGATGCTTTGTAGCATCCAGTATATTCATTTCTTTTTCTTGACAACCATTATTTCATTATAAATACTATCACTTTTGGTAATTCTTACTTCCTCTTCGTTTCTTATCTCAATATGAGAGACATTCATTTAATCCTTTCCTCTTCTTTTGTAACAGGGTGTCCATTCAATTTCCACCAATTTCTCAATCCCGTCCATTCCCTTCCATATGAACATTCCAATCCGTTATGTATGTGGTGCCCTCTTCTGTGAGTTATTTACAAAAGTTAAAGCTTCATTAGTGGGAGTTAAAATTGTATTACGTATCACAAACATTATGCTGCAATATTTTGTGTATATGTTATATAACGAAATCTGAAATAATTACTTAAATATGGTAACATATAATGAAATACATAAAAAAAAACATGTATAAATTGAAAAGGGTTATACTTGGTCAAATCACTACATTTATTTGTAACTTACTTGCTGGTGTTTCTTTTTTTGGTGGTTAACCAAGCTTTCTTTTCTGGTATACATTTTCCCACAGGTACAGGTGAATCTAGTTGCTGTATGGGTTCTTCTGTGATTGGACAGTGCACCTGTGCCGGCAAACACTACACTGCAAACCTGGCATCTGTATACCTACAAATATTATCTATAATTGGCTACTTTGCACACTGTTAATAAAGAAATGAACGGATTATAAATGTAAATGTAAATAAAAATAATCTTCCAAAATGTCAATATGTCATCTTCAGTGACAAATCATCTCCTACCGATTCCCATGACTTGCAGTTACTTGTGAATTTGTTTTTCTCTTTGTTAATCAAAGATATTCTTTATTGTTTGAATTTGGGATTACTTTTTATCCATTACTGACTTTCATTTCATAACAGTTAATACCTCATTCCAGTAATATAAATAAAGACAACTTACACGGGCCTTCTTTTCTGTTTTCTTCTTTTCCTGATTAATAAAAACATAAACTTTATTAGTATCACTATATTTCGTTCATAAATACTACCCCGGACCGTAGACAACGTCAAATTTTTATCTCATTGTCACGCCAGTAGGATCAAGTGATTCAAATTCATTAAATAATAGAAAGCGGCGTAAATTACCTTCTTATCTAATTTAACAGAAAATGCATACTGATATCATATATTGTACCTGTGAATGCCTTTTCAGAAGGTGGGCACGTAGTTTGTCTTTTCTTGTGAACTCTTTCCCACATGGATCACAGGTAAACTTCACACCCTGATGAATACTCTCTACATGGTATTTCAACCCAGATCTACTGGAGAAGTCTTTCTGACACTGATTGCACTGTAATGGAAAAATGTTTAATGTTTTAAGTTGATATGCGTTCACATATTATTACCACCACTTTACATTTGAAATAGTAATACCGTTATCAAACCATAAATCATTTCCTTTGAAATAAAACATATTGCAGTAAAAAAATATTAAACCACTTTATACTAAAAAATAGTTACAACCTTATCAAGGTATGGATGATTTTGTTCGCAATAAAGTTAGATTCGATGAAAGATGTTGAGAAATAAAAAAATGACTTTTGAAGGCCATTTTTAGAAAAAAAAAATGAAAAGTATTAAACCACTTTTTACCAAAAAAAAGTTCTAACCCTATCAATGCAATGAAGATTTTGTTCAAAATAAAGTCAACTTTTGAAAAATGTTAGTCTTGATGAAAAATGTTGAGAAATAAGGAAAGTGACTTTTAAAGGTCATTTAAAAAAAAAAAAAAATCTTCAAAAATTTAAAAATAACTTTTGACAGAAATAGTAATAACCTTATCAAACTATATATCATTTTGTTCGCAATAAAGTAAACTTTTCGAAAACGTCAGTCTTGATGAAAAATGTTGAGAAATAAGAAAAGTGACTTTTGAAGGCCATTTGTGGAAAAAAAAAGTAAAAAGTATGAAAACACTTTTTACCAAAAAAAAGTTATAAGCCTATCGAGACATGGATGATTTAGTTCGCAATAAAGTAAACTTTTCGAAAACGTTAGTCTGGATGAAAAATGTTGAGAAATAAGGAAAGTGACTTTTGAAGGCCATTTGTGGAAGAAAAAGTAAAAAGTATGAAACCACTTTTACCAAAAAAAAAAGGGATAAGCCTATCGAGGCATGAATGATTAGTTTCGCAATACAGTAAACTTTTCGAAAACGTTAGTCTTGATGAAAAATGTTGAATAATAAGAAAAGTGACTTTTGAAGGCCATTTGTGTAAAAAAAAATAAAAAAAATCTTCAAAAATTTAAAAACCACTTTTAAAACCATTCGACTAAAAATTAACAACATGCAGAAAAACATTTCAATTAAGATGTGCTTACCTTTAGCTTGGGTGGCATGTTCTATTACCGATGTCAAGAATGGAATGAAGATATTAGTCATTGCGCAGTTAATTATATGCTACACGCGGACTGCAATGAAAGCACCCGGATTAAGCCATGTGGAAATGTATAAGTGACTAGTTTTTGGAGAGAGATTGTGTTTTCAAAAAAGTTTAAAACTGTTATATCTTTGTCATTTGGAAAGCTACTCACTTCATTAAAATTAGGTTCTGGTCAGTCTGTTACTGTAGTTTCTAACGTGTAAAGAATGACAAAAGTGAGTTTTTAAATAAAGTTGCAAGATGCAATTTTCGTTAAAAAACATTGTAAAATTTGTAGGTTTTACATATAAAATCTCAAATTAAAGTGTGTAAGAGTCGACGAATCATTATTGAGTGGGCTGGCTTTCTTTGTGAATAATTGCTGATGGTTTTGTGGGAAAATTCGTTAAGATATGTTGAAAATGAAGGAAACTAGCTTTTGAAAGGCATTTCTGAAAAAAAATAATACCTTTAAACATATGAAGACCTGTTTCTACTGAAAGTATTTATAAGCATATCAAACCATATATCATTTTGCTTGGGAGAAAATAGGAATTTGAAAAATGTCAGTGTCACTGAAAAATGTTTAGAAATAAGAAAAGTGACTTTTGAAGGCCATTTCTGTGAGAGAAAAAAAAATTTATTAAACCTCTTTATACAAAAAAATAGTTACAACCTTATCAGGTGTGGATGATTTTGTTCGCAATAAAGTAAACTTTTCGAAAACGTTAGTGTTGATGAAAAAAGTTGACAAATAAGAAAAGTGACTTTTGAAGGCCATTTGTGGCAAAAAAAGTAAAAAGTATAATACCACTTTTTACCAAAAAAAAGTGATAAGCCTATCGAGGCATGGATGATTTGGTTCGCAATAAAGTAAACTTTTCGAAAACGTTAGTCTTGATGAAAAATGTTGAGAAATAAGGAAAGTGACTTTTGAAGGTTATTTCTTAAAAAAAAATCAAAAAATTTCAAAAATTTAAAAATAACTTTTGACAGAAATAGTAATAACCTTATCAAACTATATATCATTTTGTTCGCAATAAAGTAAACTTTTCGAAAACGTTAGTCTTGATGAAAAATGTTGAGAAATAAGAAAAGTGACTTTTGAAGGCCATTTGTGGAAAAAAAAGTAAAAAGTATGAAACCACTTTTTACCTAAAAAAAGTGATAAGCCTATCGAGGCATGGATGATTTGGTTCGCAATAAAGTAAACTTTTCGAAAACGTTAGTCTTGATGAAAAATGTTGAGAAATAAGGAAAGTGACTTTTGAAGGTTATTTCTTAAAAAAAAATCAAAAAATTTCAAAAATTTAAAAATAACTTTTGACAGAAATAGTAATAACCTTATCAAACTATATATCATTTTGTTCGCAATAAAGTAAACTTTTCGAGAACGTTAGTCTTGATGAAAAATGTTGAGAAATAAGAAAAGTGACTTTTGAAGGCCATTTGTGGAAAAAAAAGTAAAAAGTATGAAAACACTTTTTACCAAAAAAAAGTTATAAGCCTATCGAGACATGGATGATTTGTAATTTGTTAGAACAATATCTAATTGAGATAGCTGTCCACTTTCATGAACATCCCAGTCGATTTGAAAAAGTTACAGAAATGTTTAAGGTTGACTATCTGAATTTAGTGCGCACTTAAAATTCTAGCTTTTTTGGCTTCTCAATTAAAACCGACCGTTTCACAGTAATCAAATCAAATGCCAAATGACTCTGTCATGTGTAAGAACAGTATATAATTGAGATAGGTGTCAAGTTTTATGAAAATCCAAGTTGATTTGAAAAAGTTATAGACATTTTTAACGGCGACTATCTGAATTTAGTCTGAAGTGAAAATTCTAGGTCTTTTCACTTCTCAATTAAGACATACTGTTTAACAGTAATCAACCCAAATGGCAAATTACTTTGTAATTTGTAAGAACAATATCTAATGAAGATAGCTGTCCACTTTGATGAAAATCCCAGTTGATTTGAAAAAGTTATAGAAATTTTTAAGGGTGACTATCTGATTTGAGTGCGAAATGACAATTTTAGCTCCTTTTTCACCTATCAATTAAAATATATAATTTGATCGGAGTAATACATAATGCCAAATTGCTTTGCAGTTAGTAAGAACAGTATCTTATTGAGATAGCTGTCAAGTTGCATGAACATCCAAATACATTTGATAAAGTTATAGAAATGTTTAAGGTTGACCATCTGAATTTACTCTGAACCGAAAATTGTACCTGTTTCCACCTATCAAATAAACATACAATTTGACCAGAATAAACCAAAATGGCAAATTACTTTAGAATTTGTAAGAACAATATGTAATTGAGATAGCTGTGCAGTTTGATGAAAATCCCAGTCCATTTTAAAAAGTTATAAAATAAATTAAATTGTACTATCTGAATTTTGTCCAAAATTGCAAATCATACCTTTTTTGACCTAGATTAAATTTGACAGCAATACACCAAACTACATAATGACCTTTGATTCAGTAAGATCAATATGTTACCAAGATAGCTGTATAGTTTGATGAAAATCCAAGTTGATTTCAAAAAGTTATAAAAAGATTTAAGGTGTACTATCTGAATATAGTCGGAACTGCAAATTCAAGCTTTTTGGACCTAGATTAATTTAATCCTTAAATTTGACAGCAATACACCAAACTACATAATGACCTATGATTTAGTAAGATCAATATATTACTAAGATAGCTGTATAGTTTGATGAAAATCCTAGTTGATTTGAAAAAGTTATAAAAAAAATTAAAGTGTACTATCTGAATATAGTCGGAACTGCAAATTCAATCTTTT